CACCAAAAACAACCTAGACCCAGGGAAGATTCATGCCAAGGCACGTGGAAATCACCAAGGAATGCAGGGCCTCCCACAGTACAAGGTGATAAGGACTGTCTTTTAGAGCCGAATTCAGAATTCTAGATGTGAGAAAAGAGTTCATTTGTTAAAGCCATTCACTTGGCATTTTTGTATAACGAAAGCAGCACCAGATAACCAAGATAAAGAGTTTACAAAAAGTGTCAATAAACTGAAACAGAAGAAGGAAGGAAAACTGTTGTTAAGTGTCAAGTCAACTGCCACTCATATGGCAACTCTGTGGACAACAAACTGAAACCAAGCCCTATCCTGCCCCCGCCTCACAATCTCTGTCATGCTTCAGCCCATCGTGCACTATCTTTGTCAATCCATTTCATGAGGTCTTCCTCTCCTTCACTGTTCTACTATTCCAAGCACTAGTGTCTTCTGACAACAGGCCCAAAGGATGAGACGGAGTTTTACCACCTTTGGGGCTGTTTTTTCGGCAGTCCACTGTATAAGCTTCACCAAGGCCACAATGCAAAGGCATCAATTCTTTTTTTGTTTTCCTTATTAAGTGTTCAGTTTTCAAATGTATATGACACAATGGAAAACACTATGGCATGGGTCAGGTGCACCTTAATCTTTAAGTGAATATTCTTGCTCTTTGGCACGCTAAAGAAGTTCTTGATAGCAAATTTGCTCACTGTAACACATCTTGATTTCTTGACTGCTGTTACAATGAATGGAAGAATACAGAAAGTCACTAACATTGATGGAGTGTGTGCTCTTCCACACACTGTCCTACATATTTGATGCATAGCAATTATGTAATCCTAAAATAACTTCATGAGATTAGAAGAAATTGAGGTACTTAAGAGGTTAGGTAACTGCCCACAGTCTCAGTCAGATGACAAAGTATAGTTCATATCCAAGCAATCAAATCAATACACCACGGCATTTCCAAAATGGCCTAGTGAGAGAAAAGACTCAAAAAACCATTAACCTGAGCACTGAATAGATGCTGATGCCCTTACACGACCAGGGAAGAAATGGTTTTGGCTTATTAGAGAGTGAATGAAATATCTATAAAATACATGTTAGAATAGTTGAAACATGGTTTTCATGGTTATGTTAATGAGAACATATCATTGAAGAGTTTTCCCTAAACTTAAATCAGTTCCGAGATATTAAAAGAGTAAATGAAACACAGAAAACGCACTAAGTACACACAAAGGAAAATGTAATAGATCAACAAAGGCCAAATGCTTCCAACTAGGGAAGAATCTACATAGTGTAGTTTCTGGTTTAGACTTTTAGCCTTCAGAACTGTCAAAAAAATTAAAAAATTCTTATCTGTTCTTTAAAGCCACTCCTTTGTGGTACTTCTGTTGCAGCCGAAGTAGGAAATTATCTATTACTAAGCTAGAGTTTAGAAAACTGTGGAGATGAACTACATAACAATTGATGGTACTTAATTCCCTCAGATGCAAGGAACAGCTGGAAAATTAATAAAGAAAACCAAAGAAGAAATGAAATCTTTGAACTGTGGCATTAGTATTAGCTAAGAAAATGGAACAAACCATGGGCTGCCAGAACAACAAACCACCTTTCAAAAGTGAAATCAGAAAGCTGCTTAGATGTAAGAATGGGGGGCTTTGTCTCACATACTTCGGGCATGTTATTAGAAACCACTATTCCCTGGAGAACAACATCATGCTTGGTAGAGAGTCAGTGAAAAAGAAGACAATCAACAGCATGGACCAACACAGTGGCAGCAACAATACGGGCTTAATCACGCACAGGAGAATTGTAAGCATGGTGGAAGATAGGAGCAGAGGGGTACCTATGAATCAGTGTAGACTCAAGGGCACCTAAAAACACAGATAACATGGAAACCTGACAGCATAATAGTGCCCAACTCATAACCAGGTGGTCAACCGTTCAAACCCACCACTGTGCTGCTCCAGAAAAGACTGCAGCCTAGGAAACCTTGTAGAGAGATCTTCAGTCTTCTGAGGCCATGACTCATGGCAGTATACTGGACAGCATGCAAACAGAACCACAGAGAGATGAAGCCCTATCAAACTTCTTAGACTATGGAAGAGAAGAGACCAGGCCAAGACAAGTGTTTGGAGGATAAAATGGATTTCAAACAAGTGCTGCTGATAGGTCAAGCAATATGGAGGCAGGATGGTTATCACTGGATTTGGCCAAGTGGTGATGAGTGGTCAATGTGACAAGTCATTTCTGTAGATTGGTTGCAATGGCACCAACCTAAGAGTAAATATAGAAGAGAATCAAAAAGAAGGAAGTAGCAACAGCAGCTATGGATGGTACTTTAGAAAGATGAGGCTACAGCCAGAGGACAGGGGAAGCTGGCAGGGGAACTAGGACCCAAAGGACTTTTGCATGCTTATGGTAATAACAGGTGACCTCTAATTCTTTTTTAAATAGATTCTTTCAATAGATTATTATTAATGTGTTATACAATATAGCTGTGTTAGTGCATCTGGAATAATTCTTTAATACAAAGGTCACTATAAACTAAGACAGCTGACGTTAGATCAGAACCACTGCTAACAGTTCAAGTATAAACTTGACTTAAAGACACATTTAGGAATAAAAATCATTCATAATCTAGGGTCTGCCTACAGAAAAATTAAAAAACGGAAATAGGAAGTTAGAAAAGAGAAATCTAAAATTTTAAATACTCAAATTAATTTAAAAACCTGGAATGGAATGGAATACATGCAGTAGCTCTATATTCAAACTATAAAATACTAGAAAATTGAAGACCTAGGTAAATGTGGAAATGTTCCTTCCTCATTGATTCCAAGAGTCAACACTGTTAAAATGGCAATTCTGCCTCAAGTGTATCAACAGATTCAACACACATGTTATCAAACCACAGCAAACTTTTGGTCCATATCAACAAACTGATTCCATATCCATGCAGAAAGGCAATGTAATTAGAGCAGTCCAAACAATTCTGAACAAGAGAAAGAGCCTTAAATGGTTCAGGCTATTTAACCTGAAGACTTATTATAAAACTTCTGACTCAACAGTACTCAACAACACTGTAAAACTGGTGGCCTAGTGTGTAAGAAGCTGTACTGTCAACGAAAAAGCAGGCAATTCAAATGCACCTGGTCCTCAGAAGAAGGATGGGCAATCTCCTCCCATGCGATTTTATGGTTTCTGAAAACCTGCTAGAGGCTCAGCTGTAAGTAGGGTCTAACTGGATGGCAAGGAGCTTGAATTCTGAGCATTACAAAACTACAGAAATCAAAATCAAGTGATCCTATACAGAAATCTTCTGTATAGACAATCATGCTGTCAATGAATAAAAGGTCTCATTCTTTTCAATCCTGCATACAGATCAGTTGAAATAGAATCTCAGCTCTGTGGCCAATTGATTTTTCAGAGATATAAAATAATTTTAAGTCTGAGGAAAATAAATTATTTCTTATAGAACTGAAACAAAAAGTGGAGCCTTGGTGGCATGGTGGATTACGCACTGGGCTGCTAAATGAAAGACTGATGGTTCATTTTCATCAGCTTCACTAAAGGAGAAAAGAGAGACCATCAGCCTGGCTAAAGATTTACAGCCTTGAAACAGTATGGGCCAGTTCTCAGCTGTCCTGGAGGGTAGGTATCCTGTAGGGTGGTCCTAAGTCAGAACCAACTCAGTGAAAGTGAGTTTGGCTTCATGAGGACTTCTCTCTTGACAAAGGGGTCAAAACAAAAGAAACCAGGAAATTTCAAAGTAAGGGGAAAAAAATCCCAAAATTAACATTGAATGGGAAAGGGCATCATAATATAAAAGACACCTGTTAGGTTTAAAAACTATGTATATTTCTAAGTTATTAAAGAATTTCAGGGTCGAGGGAGAAAAAGTCATTTCAAAAGCACATAATTATCCTACAATATAAGTGAACAAAACAGAATGTAAATGAAGAACAATGTACATGTATGAAACACGATATATATCTATTTTTATGAGTGATTAAAATATTTTATACATAACAAAATACAGACTTTGAACTAACGAACAAATACATAATATAACAAAATACAGACTTCGAAAACCAAAATGAAGGTTTGTTTTTGCAAAAAAAACCCAAAACCCCAACAACAATCACATGACCAATTTTTCAGTGATGAGAAGGAGAACTGAAGGTTAAGTGCAAGGAGTTTATCATGAAATATCCTAACTACTCACTACTGAGCTATTTTGACTCACAGAGAACCCCCTTCAGGTTTCCAAAAACAAGTGTAAATCATCTCAATAAACTGAACCGTTTATACCTGGCAAAATTTATTGTTTCTTTCAAGAAATGGCTGGGAGATGCTCCAACAATCAGGATGAATTTATGGGGTTCAAGTGGTAAAAATCCAGGTGGCGACTATTGTCCTGGGCTTCCTATGATATAAAAGCAACTACATTTCTGGTTTTTAAAAAAACCAGAGAAGGTGAAGGGGGCGTGGTAGGGCAGAGAGGTGGCTTGATGGGGCAAGAGATGATAATTGGAAGATGACTTCATAGTGCAGGCGGTGGATGAAATTACAAGGACTGGGTGGGCGAGTTTACAAAAGCCTGGAGTCAGGAAGTGTAGGCAAATTAGTCACCTAGAAGGTACAAGAGAAGGAAACTGAGAGAATGTGCACTGGAAGGAGGGAAAACCAGAGGTCTAGGAACGCGGAGTATGAATGTTCAAGACTCATCTTCCAAGGCTCCAGGAAACGTGATGGCCAGGCGTGTGGGGGGATGGGGGAGAGGAGAGGCAGAGGCACTCGAGGGCATCACAGCAGGGAGGCAGGTGGGAGGGAGCCAGCTGTGCAAGAGGCGGGCACACCTGATTCCGAACAAGGGGAGACCTTACGGAACGAATCCCAGACCCCCAAGGCGCATGGAGATGGAGACGGGTAAGGAGGATGCCGAACGAGCAGGCGGGCAGAGGACTCCAGGGTCCCAAGCGACAGCCACCTCCACTCACCTGGTTAGTGACCTAAAAAGGAAACGAGAGAACAGGATTTAGAGGCGAGCTGCTCTAGTCCGGCTGCGGTGGCAGCCCCGATCCGCCCGCGGCGGCCCAGGCCCGAGCCCTAACGCTCACCTCGGGATTGGCCTCCAGCGGCAGCCAGCGCTGACCCTCCATGGCTGCTGCGCGCGCGGTCCCTGTCCAGCTCTGACAGCCGCCGCCGCCGCCGCCGCCGTGGCCAACGCTTCCGCCCCCGCGAGCCGTGACCCGGCGCGGACCAAGCCACTGTCCACGATGGGGGCCTCAGCACGAAGGTGAGCGCGACAGCACGCTAGTACCTCCCTCGCTCTCTGCCAAGCCGCATAGCAGGCTTTATATTCTCAATAATAATGCGGCTAAGGAGGAACAAGATAAGCGCTAGCTCCCGATTCAGGAGGAAAGAGTCCGGATCGCAGCCTCCTCCCCTCGCACTTGGACTCTTCCTAGCCGGGTCCAGCGCCGGCGCTCTGAGCATGCGCCAAGCGTCGAGCTGGAACCTCGTGCTCGCGCCTCTTTCATCGCTGCAGCCTCCCGTGCTGACACTAGGGGACGTGATGCTCGGTTCAGTTCAGCCAGGGAGCTGCTAGGTCCTTTATCCAGATGTTCCGAGGCTCAAGCCTGAGAATCCCATTCACCCAGACACTCCGAGGCCAAGCCTGAGGATGCTCTGGGGTCGTGTTCTGAATGGATATAGAAATGTATGTTGGTTTTGTTTGCTATAAGACAGCGGGAGAAGGAGACATTTCTACACACACACGCACACACAAACACACTAGTTCATCTGGACCAAAAGTGCAACTACCTCCTTTGAATCAAATATCAGTTAAGTGTTGAAAAATACAAAAAGGCTGAGTGTTCTGTGGGATAGAGGAAGGGTGCCAACAGAACTGACAATCACAATAAAATACGATGCACACTGGGCAGTGAAAAGCTTCATGTGTGATAGGACTACATAGAAGTGCAGCTAACGGTAGAAGTTGAGATACTGAACTGAACCTTTAAGAAACCATAGACATTAGTGTGGCTGAGAGTTATCTGAAGAAGTGAATGTTTATGCGGCTGCAGAACTCATTGTTCTATTTTGCTCTGTAGAATTGCAATGAATCAAAATCAACTGTATAGCAACAATGGGTTGATATTCCAAAAATTAGAGGGAGACAAGGAAGCTGAGTTTTCCTGTTTCTCCTCCACCAGACTGTACAGGTTAATTGCAGGGTCCTGTTGAACCCTCTCAAAAGCACATTGAACAAACACTGGAATGGTCATGGACGGAGGTAGACAGAATCAACCCCTCAGTAGTAGATGCTCGCTGGGACACATTAATCTCTGACACAAAGGTCCACGTTCCTCATTCTCACTCCCTATTCTAACTCCCGTAGATTTATCCAAGTGTGTCTCTTCCACATTTCTCTTTCTGAGACCCTGAACAATGAGCCAAATCAGTTACCACTGCTTAGGAGCTTGATATAACCCCATCCGAATGTACTTCTCTGTAAACAAGTCTGTTGTTTGGAAGGAGATACCCTCAGCAATGTCTTGCAGCATCCTCTGTGAGGTGCTTTAGTAAGTGTATCAATCCATTTTCTGTTCAAACTATGGAGAGCTGGCTTTCCATAAACCAGATCCAAGCATTATCACTTTCCATCTCATTATAGCAAACTCAGACCAGAGGGGTGGCATGAGTGAGAAACATTGGTACAGTATACACTGGTGCAAGTTAACTAGAAGTGTTATTGCTGTGTGCTTTCGAGTCACCTGAGATTCAGCGACCCTCTCTACAACAGCTCTGAAGCCTCCTGTGCTGTCCTGAGACAGTCTCACTGACTCCAACACACCTACTCCAGTGCCCTCGTTACTGTGTCAATCCATCTCATCCAGAGTCTTCCTCTCCTGCATTGTCCCTCCAGCCTTCTGAGCATCATGTCCTTCTCCTAGGACTGGTCCCTCCTGACCACATGCCCAAAGTATGTGAGATGGAACTTCAAAATACTAGCCTCCAAGGAGCAGCCTGGTTTCACCCTCTCCAAGACAGATTTATTTGTTTTCTTGGCAGTCCATGTAATGTTCAAGACTCTTCTCCAGCACCATAACTCAAAGGCATCAATTCTCCATCATCCTTAGTCATTGTCTAGCTCTTTGATGCATAGCAAATAATTACACAGACCATGGGCTGGATCAGGAGCACTTTTAGTCTCTAGACTGGCATCACTGCTTCTCAGTAGCAGTGAACCTGAAGAGGTTCCTGATGCAGACTTTCTCAATGCAATTTGTCTTTTGATTTCCTGACTGCTGGTGCCAGGAGCGTTGATTGTGGAGCCAAGCAAGATATAACTGTTAACAACCTCAATCTCATCCTCATCTAGCGTGGTGCTGCCAATCAACCCAGTGGTGAGAATCTTTGTCTTTTTTATGTTGAGCTTCAATCCATATTGAAGGCTGAAGTCCTTGACCTCCTGCAGCAAGCACTTCAGGTCCTCCTCTATTTTAGCAAGCAGGGTTGTGTCATCTGCATAACATAGGTGGTTGATGAGTATTCTTCCAATCCTGATGCCATATTCCTCCTCATAAAGCCCAGCCTCCTGAATGATTTGTTCTGCATATAGATTGAAAAGATGGAGACAAGACGCATCCCTAATGCACTCCCTTCCTGATTTTGAACCATGCAGTGTTTCCCTGCTCTGTTCTGAGGACTGCTTCCTTGACCAAGTAGAGGTTTCACATAAGCACAATTAAGTGTTTTGGGATTCCCATTCTCCTCAAAGTTAAGCACATTTTTTTTGTGATCCACAGTCAAATGCCTTTGTATAGCCAATGAAATTCTTTGCTTTCTGTCAAGACCCATCTGACATTGGTGATAATGTCTCTAGTCCCATGGTCTCTTCTAGAAGTAGAGGCTACCTGTTTATTTACCTAACTCTATGAATATAAGAGGACTCACTCAAGCCCTCAGGATCATGGAATGTACCATTTCTATCATATGATGAATTTCTGCTATAACCACTGGCATTGTGGTTTCATGAATGTGACAATGTCCATCTAGAGATAAGTACCTTTGCACAGTTAGGCTCGCAGTCTTGATTGGGACCCCATAGCATACAGGAACTACTTTTCAAATTATCTACTACTAGAGAAATGACCTTCCTCAAAAATCCTAATATCGTGCACTGAGACTTCCCTGTAAAGGTTTGCCTATGACTCCACGTATCCCCTTGTCCACCACAGACACTGGATCTGATGACTGAGTCCAACAGTGGGCCAGCTTGCATAACAGTATGCATGGACTTGCTGGAGATTCCTCTACTATTCAGGGATCTACAAACTGACAGCCTATTATCCAATTAATGTGCTAGAACTATGTCCCCCAACTGTGGCATAAGCACTCTGCCTTTCTCCTATTAATGAGAGTTGCAAGATGGAATAATTTGTCCTTCTGTCAGGTTGTTCAGCATTTCTCAGACCTTTGGACTTGTACAAATGTTGTTAATGTAATAGGCCTCTAATCTCTGTAGGGTTTAACTTCCACCTCTGACCAAATGTATTTACCAGTGTTATCACACCAGTACTTCTCAAACATAAATACACATACAACTGCCTGGACAATCTTATTGAAATGTAGGTTTTCTTGTGGAATCTTCTTGATTCAGTAAGTCTAAGGAGTCAAGATTCTGCATCTTTGGCTTCAGTTCCCACCCTGCCCCTCCCATCTTTCTCTTATCCACATTTTTTTAAGGTATTTAAGCTACTAACTACAAGTTTGACTGTCAGGGATCACCAGCTACTCCATGGGAAAAGTCTGGAATTCATTTCATAGTGGGGAAGAGTCAATACCAGTATGATCCAGCCAACCTAGATAATGACACTGAGAAATGGAATTTCACTGATTCACTCACTCGTTGCCAGCAAATAGGAAGCAATTCATAGTTGATCCTGCGCTGAGTTCCCCGGGCTGTAAATTCCCCAGGAGAGAACTGCCTATCTTTCATCTGAGGAGCTGCTGGTAGACTAGAATGACCAGGAAAGTGTGCCCTTTCGGTGAGCAGTACAGCTCCCTATGGACTACGCCCCCAGAGATCCAAAGCTCAAAATCATTGTCATTGACTTGGAATTGACTGATAGCTGACCCGCTGAATTTTCAGTAGGTTTTCTAGGTCTCTACATCACATAGGAAGAGATTGCTCATTCTTTTCCTGTTGAGTAGCTGGTGGATTTGAACTGCGTCAGTTTGGGTTGATGCAACAACTCCTTAGCCAGTTGGCCACCAGAGCTCTCTTATTGGAGCTTGTTGTTTTTATATATGTCGACTCATAACTGACATTCCAATGGGTTTTCAGAGGCAGTTAATAACATGCAAGAAGATTGAACATCTTTCCCCCTGGAGCAGCTGACATATTCATACCACATGCCTTTGGGTTCACTGTGCAGTTTCTTACCACAAGCCCACCTGAACACTCCATGTAGAGAAAAGATTTTTTAAAAACCGAAATAATCTGATCATTATCCTGAGAAACACAAGTCACCTCCAATACAATCAACAGCTTAAACATTGGTTATAAATAGGATAACCCAAACCCAAAACTACCATTGTGTGTCTCTGACGCCTAGCAATCATATAAGACAGCGTAACATGGTCTCCTAGGGTTTCCAAGGCAACAGACCTTTCCAGAAGTCAAGAACCACATCTCTTTCCCACTGAATAGCTGCAGGCCTTTGTTTGGCAGGAGGACACTGAACTATGCCATCCACAGGGCTCCTTAAAGAGATTTACAAAACTAAATTCACTGCTGTCAAGGAGGTTCTGGCTCACAGCACCCCTCCAGTGGATTCCTGACACTAGAAACCTTAAATTTGCCATTTTTCTCCTTTGGAGCAGCAGGAGGATTAGAATTGCCAGAGACACCTGGCTTTCTATTAGCAGTGCAACACACTGTGGTCTACACCACTTGTTCCTATTTGTTGTTAGGTGCTGTCAAGTTGACTGTGACTCACGGCGCCCCTGTGAATGATGGATCTGAAGCCTGCCCTATCACCTGCCGTCCTCATCATCTCTGCCATGCTTGTGCTCGTTGGTACAGTCACTGTGTCAATCTATCTTTCCCGCCCCCTTTGGTGTACTTTTCCAATCATGATGGCCTTTTCAAGGTCTGGCCCCTCCAAACAACGTATACAGAGTACGTGAGACAAAGTTTCCTTGCCCTTGTTTCTGA